GACCTAGGTACCTTGTTTCAGGTATTTAAGATTTACATACATTTTTTCTTTACGATCTTCCGGCTAAACTCTCCAGATTCTTTGAGAAAAAGAAATCTTCATGACTTTAAGCCCACCTAATCTGACGTTACTTCCACACAGATTATCTAGCTTTAGCTTTCATTTTTTTTACTGTCTCCTAAACGGATCATGCTTATTTAAAAACCACGCTATGCAAGAACGTATGCTCCACGGCTTTTCACGGCTGCCGCCATGAGGTTCACTGGGGCCGCCGCCGGCCGCGGGCCACAGAGGCTGTGGTACGGTCAACTCTGAGGGGCATGACCTGGGCCTCGTTTGACTGGCGGCCGGGCCGGCGAGGCAGCCCTGAAGTAAGCTCTGCGGGATATGAGGGCTAGTCGGCCCGGCGACTCATTCCCAGCCTGACGCCACCAGAAACTGCTCTAGGCTTCTCTCTGAGGCGAGATGCTTCCACGACCCGCCAGCGGTGCTCTGTGGCACCCTGCGAGGCGGACAAATCTCCACTGTCTACCAGTGGTGCTCCGGGCCACTCACTGCTGCGGAATGTTTTCACCGCCTGCCAGCAGTGGTCTGGGCCGCTCTCTAAGGCGGAATGCTTCCACCGCCTGAGCGGTGGTCTGGGCCGCTCTCTGAGGCGGAATGTTTTCACCGCCTGCCAGCGGTAGCCTGGGTCACTCTCTGGGGCGTAATGCTTCCACCACCTGCCAGCGGTAGTCTGGGCAACTCTCTGAGGCGGAATGTTTTCACCGCCTGCCAGCGGTGCCTGGGCACTCTCTGGGGCGGAATGCTTCCCACCTGCCAGCGGTGTCTGGGCACTCTCTGAGGCGGAATGTTTCATCTGCAGCGGTGCTCTGGGCCGCTCTCTGAGGCGGAATGTTTCCAATGTCCGCCAGCGGTGCTCTGGGCCGCTCTCTGAGGCGGAATGTTTCCAATGTCTGCAGCGGTGCTCTGGGCCGCTCTCTGAGGCGGAATGTTTCCAATGTCTGCCAGCGGTGCTCTGGGCCGCTCTCTGAGGCGGGTCTCTTGTAACACTTCATGCTCAGAGCGTCTCGGTTTTGTGTAGTTCTGCCTACGAGTACTGCTCCGGGTGACCCGCCGAAGCACTCCTGAATAGTCATACCTTTTGCTGATCTCCAATAATGCCCTTTTTTGTTCTTATGATTTTGGGAAAAATGATCGATTTTGAAAGATCATCTGCTTGGCAGTTCTGGCGGTGGGTATGTTGTGTGGTTGCTGGCGTGGGCGCATACACATAGTGGACCCCGAAGCATTACACTCACAGTGGCCTCCCCCCCCCTGCCTGCCAATTTATAGCATATATTAACATGTCCGTTACTTGTTGGCAGTTCAAAACTGTCTACACACAGGCAACAATAAGCATCTCGAAAAGAAGCGACGTTGTTTCCGATACGCAAATCATTACGAGTGCCTGCGGCGCGATTAACTCGGATTTCAGTGAACTTTTTTTTAATTGGTTTTGCTTCAACGCTTTCGCCATCACACCACATGACAACAACAGGACCTAACTCCTGAAAGTGCTTACGCCTGTTCCACCCGCTTCGTAGTGCCGATATCATGAAAGCACTCGTGTGCTTTGTACCAGGGGACGCTGCATTACGGTTTAAGTTCAGAGGAATGCCGTTTATAGCGTTTGAAAGCACTCTCCTCACCTTCGGTTCTCTTCTTGTAATCGTTCCCTTTTTAATCACAGTTTCATTTCGTTTCCAGATTCGTTCCCTCTCATAGATGTGGAAGGTCAGTTTGGTTCCGTCTTGACTCAACAGAGCTCTTTGAAACATCTGATTGAAAACAAACATGCACAACCATGCATACATGACATTTTGCGGAGTATCAAGTGCTAATTTCGGTATTTCGGTACTTAAATGAACTGTACATGGTTACAAAATCTGTTTAGCTATACAACATTACACCCTCAGCTCTGAGAAGGTTCCGAATGGAGCACATAACTGAAGCGCGGGACACTAAGTCAATAAAGCTTTTAAGTGCCAGATTGGTGATCTTTTTGGGTGTAATCGTGGTACCCGGATTCTTATGTAAATGTATGATACTAAAATTTCCTGCAACGTACTGCCATCATGCACTGGACGAAAATCCGAAAGACTCATACTATGGATGCATTTTGGAAGACGAACTTATGTTAGGTTTACAAACACACACACATATAGATATATTTGTGTGTGTGTGTGTGTGTGTGTGTGTGTGTGTGTGTGTGTGTGGTGTGTGTGTGTGTGTGGTGTGTGTGTGTGTGTGTGTGTGTGTGTGTGTGTGTGTGTGTGTGTGTGTGTGTGTGTGTGTGTGTGTGTGTTGTGTTTGTGTTGTGTGTGTGTGTGGTGTGTGGTGTGTGTGTGTGTGTGTGTGTGTGTGTGGTGTGTGGTGTGTGTGTGTGTGTGTGTGTGTTTGTGTGGTGTTTACTCCAGATTTGTGTAATTTGGGGAACTCATGAAATATGGGTGTTCGGCTACACGTAGACGCCAGGTCGTTTACTGTTTTATCGGAACGCTTACCTTCAACTGTAGACTAAGGTTCTCTTTGGTACACTCGTTATCACCCAAGGCACGAGATTATCCCAAAGTGAATAGTCCTGAGGCTCATCCAAAATAACCCTAGCCCTATTCTTACAATTACTGTTCTGCCTCATCGAACAGCAGAACACATCCGTTCATTTTTCACTTCACCTCTCAGGAGAGGAAGCTTCCACACTTAACCTCGACAAAGCACTGTACAGGAAATGAAGAAATATACGCAAGTCTTTTGTGACCTGCTTTCTTTGTGGAAAGATACATAGTTGCCACTTTGAAGACGCGTCAGAATTTTGCAAAACATCGCGGTCAAAACCTTTACGTTGACGCACTCGCGCTATATTGCGTACATGGCATCAGACGGTGAAGTAAGTTAGATTTAAGCTTGCGGTTCCCACGACTCATAAGCGGGAAGTCATTGTCAGGAAGAAAGCGTTTGCATGAGCGATAAGCATCATTTTTTTATGGGAGGCCACGAAGCGGTTTCCTATGATATATATATATATATATATATATATATATATATATATATATATATATACATGCCTGCGTGCATGCTTACACACATGCAGACACACGTACATACCACAAACGCAGAAATCTGCCTCCCACATAAAACGAGGCATCATCTCACAGAGCGGCAAATCCACCAGCTCAGTGCCGCTCGCACAGCGGATATCCGCGCGCGCGCCGCGTCTCCCTCGGAACCGGGAAATTGCGCCGCGCGGGGCTTTGGCAGCGTCAGGAAACCGCCAAGCCCGCGGTATTTCGGCGTGCGCGCACCTAGTGACTCGTTAGCGCTGCGTCATGGTGCGCATGCATCTGGGACCCGTCAGAGCAGCAAAGTTGGCGGGATGTCCACAGATCTGGAGAGATTGGACCGTGCTGATCTCTTCAGAACTGCGGACGTCGCTGGATATCGCGGCTATAGATACACGCAATGTTCCACAAGCAGCGGTCGGGCACGTTTCATGTCACTGATGTCAGGTTCAGATGATTTCAGAATGCTGTCCGGAACTGATAACGATCTGTTTGTTCGCACTATGGCCGAAATGGGCCAATTTGTTCAAGAGCAAAAAAAAGGCTCAAAATCAATCTATCCATGTAAGGCAACATTTTGCTTTTCGCTTTCGTGCTTAACACGCGCTCGGGTGGGGTCAAGTTGCCCCCCCCCCCCGACGGTTTTACCGGAATGGTTTCCGAGCGGCGCGGCGCAGCCGCGCCAAATTTTGCATAGCCGCAGACAATATAATAGCGTATTGAATTTAGATGCACCATGTAAGGTCGGTCACCTATGTCAAAATCAAAGTCAGGCCATGGTTTCAGAGAAGGCACGTTCTAGAGAATCGTTCAATCCGATCAAACAATAAAGTGTTAGATGAAGCCAGACATCTCTGAGATACTTTCTAAGGCAACACAACAGTTGAACGAACAAATTACATTCACCTTAGGTCGGGTATGAAAGTCAGACTAAGGTCAAAGCCAACCTGCTTTGTTACTCTCGGGCTTGCTGTATGGACTGGTTTCTGGTGCTCATTTCGAACATATGATAGCAGGAACCGCATTATACACCTTCCATGAACTTCTTATAGGTCAAAAGGTAACTGACCTAAATGATCCAGGTTAACATCTTGGTTCCAGGAACATACCGCCTAGCGTAATCTTTGTCGCTCATCCACTGCAAAACCTCAAGACAGCCTTGTCATTTTGGTCATCAACCTTTAAAAGGTCAAACAAGATCACTGACCTTAACTAAGCGTGTGACATTCTGCTTGGAACGGTTACCTAGGTTCTAGAGGCCCTGTGGAGACCAATCCGGAATTTGACCTTGTTCGACCTTATCTGACCAGAAGGCCATGACCTAGGAGCTTTTAACTTTGAACTAAGTGAGTTTACGTACGGGTCAAAACGCCTGTGAATTGGGTCTCTAGTTTTTAGTTCCCGAGATCTCAGGGGGGCAAATTGGCCCCTCCAACCGAGCAAAGGACCAACAGGCCACCCAGGC